AAAGATGGCGCCGATATCCGGCTATGACAGTAGTAAACAACCAAACTGAGCATGCTCTGGATTTCCCCTCATCCTCGGGCCGAGAGCGCTCAGATCAGGTGATCCAATAATCAGTTGCCACGTACTAGGCGAGGACAATTTTCTATATAAGCAATCATGGGCCTCGGGTTGGGGTCGGCTCTCTGGTTTCCCCTGAGGACTTTGCACTGCCTGTCGAGATGCAATAAAGCCTTACTGCAGAAGAATCCTGATCGTGTTCTCGTCTCTTCTCGTCCGAGCCTGCTGGCGGGGTGGTCGGGAACAGAGCGAGCAACACCCTAACCCATACACCTGAACCCCAACACACTCATCAGTTCACTAAATTGGACTTGGTTGGTCTGTTATTGGTTCCCTTGCTGGGGTAAATAAACATTTGTTTGCATCTCCCCAGGAATAGTGTCACACAACACAGAGTTTAGAGGAACGTGGTAAAAACAGAACCAAAAAGAATAGGGCTTTGCACAGGGACTAAAACCAGAGTGAGATTCCAAGGAGCTAGATGCATGACAATAGTCAAGGTGGAGTCCAGACGGAAGGCACACAACTTCTAACATCTTTCTTAGTCATAAGCAGTTCTTTGTTTTATTTTTTAACATTTTATTAATTTTTATGCTGGGCATGGTGGCACACACCTTTAATCCCAGTACTCAGGAGGCAGAGACAGGCAGATGTCTGTGACTTCAAGGCCAGCCTGGTCTACCTAGTGAGTTCCAGGCCAGCTGAAGCTACAGGAAGACCTTGTTTCAAAAAGACAAAAAAAAAAAAAAAAATTATTTTATTTTTATTTTATGTATATATGCTTGTATTGCCTGCATATAGGTAAGTGCACCCGTGTCGTGCAATGCCCGAGGACAGAAGAGGCTGTCGGGCCTGGAACTGGAGTTACGACAGTTGTTAGCTGCCATGTGGGTGCTGGGATTTGAACTTGGGTGGTCTTTAAGAACAGCCAACGTTCTAACTGCTGAGCCATCTCTCCAGCCCCATGAACAGTTCTGTATGGGTGCTGGGAACCTAAACTCCAGTCTTCTGCAAGAACACTTGTAACCACTGAGCCATCTGTCTGCCCTCCCTTCTTTTTTTAAAGAAAAAGAAAGTTATTCATCTACAGTGCTGTTCATCAAGTGTAAGCCCAGAGTCCAAGGTTTTAATTACGTATGTTATTATACAAAATCAACTATTCTCATAATTAAAATGTAAACTGGCTATTTTTTTTAAAAAAAGAGACTTCAAGGAGGAAAAGACAACAGCAGCCGGGCATGATGGCACAGACCCATAATACCAGTAGTCAGCCGGCATCTGAAATCCTCATATTTTTTCAATGTAAGTCCTGAGATTTTAGAAGAATTGCCCTATCCTCAGCCCTGCAAATTTCTAAGGGGAAAATGTCAGATACAAAATGTAATTTTAGCCAGGTGTCAGGGAGGCAGAGACAAGTAGATCTCTCAGAGATCAAGGCCAGCCCAGTGTACATAGTGAGTTCCAGGCCAACTGGGGCTATAGCAGTGTGAAAGGCATGCCTCCTCATCCATGTTCAAAGTGTTCACAACACAGTGTCACAAACGGCCAGGCGCTTAGTGCTCTTAGTGTCCTCCACTTCCCCTTCCAGGGGCCGCTTTTGGCTGGTAGAAGGCTGGAAATGAAGGAAAGGGGAGACTTGTTCAAAAGAGAATCACAGCTTCCCACCAAAGCTCCTGAATAAGATTCCAGTAAATTGGGGGCATTTCATGTCAAACATTAAGGACAAGAACTGCTAGTTGTGGTGACAACTGAATACCCCCCAACACACCTCTGGAATACTTATCTACTTGACATTTCTCTCTGGTGATTTCCAAGTCCTTATTAGTATACAGTGATTTTTTTTTTTTCTTTGACCTTACACTGGTGCAAAGCAACATGGACTTTGGATTTTTTCCTGGGCAGCATGCTTATGATGCTAGGCAACAGAAGCTGGTCAGCCAGTCGTTCAGCAGGGAAACCCACACAGTCCATTGTACAGTGTTGCTCAGCTACAGTGTTACACAGGTTAGAATTATTAAATGCTTTTTTATTTAAAAGATTTGCAACTTAAAAAAATAAAAATAAAAATTTAAAGATTTGCAACTTAAGATGGATCCCATTGTATGTTGTAGAACATCTAAATATTGAAAGTAGGCAGTACCAACAGTCTTCTTGGTTGTCATCCTGAATGATCAAGTGTAAAGAGACTATCTAGGTTCATGGTATAGCTCAGTGATAAAGGGTGTGCTTAGCATGCACTACAGCCCCCAGTTCAATCCCCAGCACCCAGAGAAAGACAGAAACAGAAAGACAGAGACAGTGCCGAGTTCTGCTTTTTATGAAAACAACAGTTGTCTTTGTTTCTCTATTTTTTCTTTTTTTTGGTCTTTTTGAGACAGGGTCTCCCCTGTAGCCCCAGCTGGCCTGGCACTCCCTATATAGACCAGACTGGCCTCAGTCTCACAGAGATTCACCTGCCTCTGCCCCCTGTGCTGGGATTAAAGGCATATGCCACCACACCCAGCAAGGATCTGCGTTTGGATCCCCAGCATCTACATAAAAAGCCAGGCATGGCATCATGCACCTGTAAACTCAGCTCAGAGGAGACAGAAGGGTCCCCGAGGCCTTGATCTCACAGAGATCTGCCTGCCTCTGCCTCCTGAGGGCTAGGATCAAAGGTGTGTGCCACTTTGTTTCCCTATTTATAGAATCAGAGGAGAACAAAGAGGAAAAAGGTTAGAGATAATTCACCAAAAGAAAACACAACAGGAATTAACAGATATTAATTATTAATATGCTTACAAAGAATGGTAGCAGAATAAAATTGTAATCAAATCACTACAATGAAAGCCCAGGACGGTGGCATACACCTTTAATCCCAGCACTCAGGAGGCAGAAGCAGGCAGATCTCTATGCAATCAAGGCCATCCTGGTCTCCATAGTGAATCCAGGCCAGCTGTAGCTACAAGGATACCCTGTCTCAAAAAAACCAAAAAAAAAAAAAAAAAAAAAAAAAAAAGTGTCTTCAACATAATACTCGTGGGGGTGGGGAGACCAACTCCCCCACTATGAAAACCAAGTGGCCTAGAATGCCCAATCCTCCTGTACCCTACCTCCCAAGTGCTGAGATTACAGGTGTGTGCCATCAAACCTGGCACTAAATCGTTTTTTAAATGTCAAACACCTGCCAATCCAGACTCTTTAGTCATCAACCTTGCTCATTAGCAATGATCATCGGGAGAATACCTGGGCTGGAACCAGCGGTAGGGCCATCAAGTTCCTTTCCTGAGCCAATAGATCCTGAAATTTTCTCTTCATGCCCTCATCCTGTGAAGAAATTAAAAATATAAGCCATGTCTGAGAAAAAGCAAGCTCCTAGAGTATCAGGGCCAAATGGCCCTGCAAAGCAAAAGCAGACCAAGACCACCGTCCTGCCACCAAACCTCATCGCCTTGTAGAAGTTCCCAGATGAAGGGACTGTGGCTGCTCACCTCTGCCTTCTCAGAGCAGTCAGTGCTTACATACTCTCAGTGGGCCAGAGAACCACAGATCATAGCAGTAAAGATTTTGGAACCAGTACCTTAGCTCCTAAGAGACAGCAATCAGGAGGCCAGAATGTAGGGCTGACACCTGATACCCAGAATCCTCCCAGAGCCAAACCCCTTCTTCCCCTGCCACCAATGAGGCCTGGTTAGGGAGACCATCGAAACAGCTAACAAAATATGCTAAGAAATTCACCAGCAAGTGCTAAACAAGTTGCCAGAAGCACCTCAAACCTATAATATCCCGAGCTCAGATCTCATGAGAACAGATGGCAATGCACAGGCCCTAATGCTACAGGTGTCTCAGGATAGAGAAGTAAGTAGGCAGGGAGCATGCCAATGAGTTTTTCCAAGATATGTAGCAACTAGCTCCCACCCCTACCCCTGCAGTTAAATCCTGTAAGGTTCCAGGACTGGCATATAGCAGCCCTGAGGTGGCCTGGCACTGCTCTTCATTTTCAGAAACACAAAGTATCTATCATTAAAAACATGGGCTCTGGGGGCTGGAGAGATGGCTTAGTATTAAGAACACATGTTACTCTTGTAGAAGACTTGAGTTTGGTTCCAAGCATCCACATCCATAGGTAGCTCACAACCACCTAGAACTCTAGCTCCTGGGGATCTGGACACCCTCTTCTGGATTCCACGAGTACCTGTACTCACACACACATGCATGCACATACACACACAATTGAAAATAAATGTTTGCTGGGCATAGTGGCACACGCCTTTAATCCTAGCACTTGGGAGGCAGAGGCAAGTAGATCCTTGTGAGTTCAAGGCCAGCCTAGTCTACATAGCAAATTCCAGATCAGCTGGGGCTACATGGAGATCCTGTCTCAAAAAAACAAAAATTATTTAATTAAAACAAAACTTTAAAAAAAAAAAAAAAAAAACAAGTGGGGCTTTGAGTGGTTAGCAGCCAAGTGGGCCACTCTCAAGGACTGCCTACAGAATACAAACCAGAGCAGTGTGAGTCAAAGCTCTGTACACTTCCCACCCCATTCTTCTACCTTACCATGGCATCCAGGGTGAGGCCCCCAGCATTAGCAATTTGTAGACATGGGCAATTCTAGCTTGAGGACTGATAATGAGCTAGTTTCTTCTGTCTCAGAACCAGAAGCAGCAGCTGCTTCCATCCTTGTCTTACTGGTTACTCCAATCAGACACCCACAACACTCCACCCCACCTGTCTTGATAGCACCACACTCACATGCAGTCTCCCTTAGAGTCTCATGCAGCATGTCTACCAGTCCACACCTTACCCTGCAGCCTCACCAGGATGCCCTCCCTTCCTTTCTGCCCAATCCATCTTAGCCACTATCCTCATTCACTTGGTAATGAATACTCCCAGAACATTCTAGACACCAGGCACTGTTGGCCACAGGGGTGTCCCTACTAAGCACTAGAGTCTTCATCTCCTTTATCTCTGCCAGGCCTTTCAGCCTTCAGATCTCTCCACAACTAAAAATGTGCGCACTTAAAGCCCTGCGGGCAGTAGCCGTGCTTCCTGCTGGTTTACAACCAGGTTCAGCACTGCTTTTATAACCACATGTACTGCTCTGTATAACCATAGTGTTTGAAACGTGAGCTCACTAACTGCTCTGACAGAATGAATGTATGAACAAATGAAACCATGGTGGAATGCTTCTATGGTTTAGATAAGTGCCCCCAAGATCCTATGTATTAAGCTTTGGTCCCTAACCCATGGCACTATTAGAAGAGGTAGAGCCTTTTAGAGGCAGAGGCCATTGGGAAGAACTTACATCATTGGAGGTATGCCCTGGATGGAGATTGTGAACATCTAGTCTTTTATTTATTTATTTATTTGGTCTTTTTGAGACAGGGCCTCCCTGTAGCCCCAGCGGTCCTGGAACCTACTATGTAGACCAGGCTGACCTCGAACTCACAGAGATCTGCTTGCCTCTGCCTCCCGAGTGCTGGGATTAAAGGCGTGCGCTACCACGCCCAGCATCCTTTTATTTTTCAATCTGTGTATATGTGGCACATGTGTGTATATGTGGAGGTCACAGGGTAAACTTGGGTGTTGGTCCTGGCCTTCCATCTTGTTTGCGACAGTGTCTCTTTGTTTACCACTGCCTACACCAGGCTAGCAGGCCTGTGAGCTTCAGTGGCTCTCACAGTAAGAGAGCTAAGATTACAGATGTCAGCCCAGCTTTCCATAGATTCTGGGGATCCGAACTCAGATCTTCATGTTTGCAAGATAAGCCCTTTACCCACTGAATCGTCTCCCCAGGGCCTCTTCCTCTCTTTGTTCATATCAGCCATAAGGTAATCAGGTCTCCTTCACTGCAAACTCCTAATATGATGTACTGCCTTACCATCAGTCATGGACTGAAACTTCCAAAACTAGGCCAAAATAAACCTTTTCTGTAAGTTGATTTATCTTAAGTGTGTGTTACAGTAACAGAAAGCTGACTGGCACAAATGTCCTTCTGGATACCATTGCTGCAGCCAGAATGTCCTGAAGCTACTGAGGTCTCTATTTATAAGCCATCAATTAAAGCAATAATATAAAAAATTCAACTGGCTAGGTCGGGCATGGTGGTACATGCCTTTAATCCCAGCACTCAGGCAGCAGAGGCCTACGGATTTCTGTGAGTTTGAGGCCAGCCTAGTCGACACAGTGAGTTCCAGGATAGTCAGGGCTATACAATGAGACCCTGTCTCAAAACTCCAAAAAAAAGTCCAACATTAGCACAAGTATCAAGATTTATCTGTAAATCATTGAGAAATCTGCATCCCAAAATATTAAGTTATAATATCCCTCACAGCAAGCACGAAGAATTCCTTTATTGTAGTAGAAGTGAGGTAGACAGTGGACATGAGGGATATCCCCCAAACTGGATACTGCTAATGACAAAAAAGAGAGGGAGATTCAGGGTCCCATCACTTGGTCCAGTGCCAAACCCACAAAACTACTAGGCTTCTTTGGACTTTTCCCCAAATCCAACCTAACCATAGCTAGCAGAGGTTTTAGATCACCCATTTGTATTCTTGTCCTCAGTCCATCATGTTCACTCCGCCTTTTGCTGGGAAAGCAAACTGTGGACAAGAAGCATCTTCACATGAGACCTCCAGGGAAGAGCTGAACTTCAACCTTTTCTTTGCTTGTGAATAAGTTTTCTCCTGAGACAAAAAGCACAGGAAAAATGGACTACATTGGCTCATAAATTTGAGGCAGATGTAAAACCTGTTGCCAGGCCTAACTGGCTAGCCCCACTTTTTTTTTTCAAAGCTAACACAGCTCTCCCCCACCTCCATTTGGACCCCAGAGATGCCCTATTAAGGCACATGAAAAGAACCGAGGGGCGCATTTCTCTTTTTCATCAAAATTAAATCCCTGCATGCAAACGCCCTTTGTCGTCAAACCCCTTTTCTCTAAGTCCTGCTGCTTCAAAACTGTGTGGTCTATTAAACACTTCATCAACTGACAGGTTTCTTTTGGGGGCTGCTGTTTCCAGGGAGATATCCAAAACACATATATCTGTACACCTTTTTTTAGCCCCCCCCACCCCTTCTTTTAAGGGCTTGTTCTCAGCCTGAGCTAGCTGACCTTTCAGAAGTCAGGTATGGTGGGTGGTAAGAGAGAAAGGGACAATCTTCCCTGAGTCCCAATCTTCCCTTCACAGTAATGAGGTTTGATTGTTCATGGAGTCCCTAGACCAAGCCAGCTGCCTGCTTAACCCACTCGGCCCCCCAGAAAACAGAGAGAGATCAGAAGTTCACAGAAAGCATGGCCAAGCTGAACGAAAGATCACAATCCATCAGGAAACCGGCTGGATGCTCTTGTTAATTCCATACCAAAGATTAATCTCTCACGCTGGCAGCTCTGAATGAGCTCTGTACAAAATCTCAAGGCAAAAGGCACATGTGAACACAGATGTCACACAGACTTAAAAGTCTCACATGACAGCATGCACTAATGGCATGCTTGCTCACCAGTAACAAGTAGGACCCTTTATACATAATCACATGGCCTCAAAGTAGCTGGATTCTCCCCAGAGAGAATGCTCTCCTGGATCTGCCCCAGTTTCCTTGATTTACGGTAGAAAACAACTGGAATGAAGCCCAGCCCACTCCACCTGTGGGAGGGGGAGGAGAGAATGGAGATAGGTGGGGGTCTAGGCAGACCAAGCTCTCAACGGATTATAGCCACACTATGGGCTCAGGCAGAAAACACCATGAAGTATGTCCATCCAGGAGCCACGAGTTGTGTGGAAAAAGCTAAACACCGCCCCCCCACACACACACCTACAACCTGATTGAAAACAATTACATAAGTGGACCCAACAACACAGAGAACACATGGCCCTCTGCCTCACCTCACTTGGGCAGTTCAGAGCTCCCCTACATTTTAGGTGCTGCCTCACACCCACCTGAAGCCATGGGTGACTCAAGGCTGCTTCTGTGGTAAACCGTGCCTTTGGATCCACAACCAACAGTTTCTTGACAAGGTCCAGAGCTAAAGCAGCAAGAGAAGTAGAGAAATCATAATGAAAAAGATGAATACATGACATCAGCATTATTAAACTATGCCAGAACCACAGGCCACCAGCCAGAGAAGAGAGCACCATGGAGTCGGCAATTTGGTAGAGAGAGCCCTCCAACCCTCCTCCCTCTCTGAATGCTGAGGACTGGGAACTCCAGGAATGAGGACACTTCCCATCTCTTTCTGTTGGGACATCACTGTCCCTCTCTTAGTGTTGGACTCAAGTTCAGACTAATTAAGGCTGAATTTCCACCCAGGTTTGCAATACTCAGAATGAACCACAAACTCTCCAGAGACCATGAACTGATGGTGAGATGCCAGAGAGAGGGGTTCCCTGTACATTCAGGTGTATCAAAATAAGGCCTGGCTACATCAGCAAGCAACTATAGGTTGCTTACATACCTGATTTGCACAACTGCAGCAATATTATTCCTTAAATGTCCTGATATTTAATACAGTCACCAATCGTATATTATTGGACACATTTAGTTTTAATCTTCTTTTTCTCCATCAACTGCAGGGTTGTACTTTTAAATTATAAAATGCAGGTAATTGATGACATTGAACTTTTGCATGGTAGTTATTCAAAGAAATGTTTTCAGCTAAGAATTATTTCACACACTTGAATTGGTACCAGGCACTTGTGTACATTATAGTTAAACCTCACACAAAACCTTTGAGGTAAGGGTTACTGAGTGCCCATTTACAAATACGGAAAATAAAAGCTAAGCATGGTGATGGGTGCCTTTAATCCTGCGGGGGCGAGGGGGGGTAATACACGGGTCTCTGTAAGATCAAGGGGAGACCCTGTCTCAAAAAACAAAAGAAAGAAAGAAAAGAAAAGAAAGTCTCAGAAAGGTCAGATAACTTGCCTAAGGTCACACAATTAAAAAACGGAGACCTAGGACTTAAGCTCAGGCTCAGGCACCCAGGCTCTTAACAATTCCCTCTTCCTCTCATATGGTGCAAATCAATGGAAGACTGACAGGAGAAAACAGAGTTTGAGAAACTCCCACCAACAGAACACCCACATTTCAGTACAGTAAACCACACATTCTTAACCCTTCTGTATCCATACCCTTCTCTGAGACATCTGCCCAGACTTCAGGAATGAAGTTGTATTTTCCACTGGTGATCTGATCCTTCAGTGACACTTGAGTCTTATGCTCAGAGAAAGGTGGATACCCACTAAGGCTTAACATTGGCAGAGAAAGAAAGGAAAAGAGATCAAGAGGCATTCAGATACACAGGCTTCTTCAGCATTATGAAAAATCAGCATTTTCTTTAAATCAAACATAAGCTCTCTACTTGGACACATGTATGATTTCATCTGACCACATCCAACCAGACTGTGAAGCAATGAAAACATTTCTTACCAGATAAAAAGAATAACACCTAAACTCCAGCAGTCCACAGCACGGTTGTACCCGGTAGTCCCAACGGAGAGTAGGACCTCAGGAGCCAAGTAAGTAGGGGTACCACATAAAGTTCTCATGAGGGAGGTCTCCCCCAAAATCTTGGATTGCCCAAAATCAGTGATCTAAAATTACAAATAAAATCAAAACCTTATCACAGCCTGTCATCCCCAAACATGCAAACTAGGTTAGAATCTACTATCCAGTGGACACCTGCCATTAACCCAAAATGTGCACTTTCATGTCTTTGTAAAGTATTTAATTTTGCTTAAAAGAAAATCCCTGTGCCTGAGAATTAAGGTTTTCTAATTTACTTGTAATCTTTATAATATCAAAGTTTCTAACTGTACCACAAACACACTAGGATTCAAACTTACACATATTTCTTAGACCCACGACTCAAATATGACTAACTGTGGCACACTTGAAGAGCTTGGGGACAGAAAAGAAAAATACTTGCACCTGGTGTCACCCTCCAATTCTGAGGCATAGCTAGGTGCTATGAAGTGGCTTATATACAACGGAGCTCAATAAATGCTCAATATACCATTGCCATCCCATGTGATCTCTACAGTGACTGTTGAGTGTGGGAAGTTCAGACGTCCAACTTTTCATATTCCTATTATTTATGTGAGGAATTAAAAGACAGTTTGGAACAGAAATGGACTGCAGCAGCCACACAGCAAGAAAGTCACCTTGATAAGGCAGTCCTCTGCTTGAGATGACAGAAGAACGTTCTCCGGCTTTAAGTCTCGATGGATAATCCCATTTTCGTGAAGGTACTACACAAAAAGGGAGGCAGAACCCTTGATTTATGTGGTACGCATGTGAGGAGAAAGTTACCAACACCTAATTTGTAGCCGGGATGGAAATCAGCTGCATTTTTCATCATCACATTCCTCAAAATCAGACAGAACTGCTTGCACCAGGGCTTAGCACTCAGAAATTTATGTTCTAGAAAATCATTACAAAGTAGAAAAATGAACAAAGCAACTTAGGAAGGTGAATCTTGTGTTTCACAATGCCAGAAAATAAATATCCTTTCCCAGTGACAGAAACATAAGGTGTCTATTTCAACAGAAAATTCAGTAGATGATAGAACATATTCACAGAACATACAAAGTAAACAAGAATTCCATCAAAATGATACATTTTGTGACACTGTCCTAAGAATATTTTTGAAAAGAATCTCAAAAATACATTTGAGCCAAGCGTGGTGATGCACTCATAATCCCAGCACTCAAAGAGGCAGCAGCAGGCCAGGTGTGGTGACACATGCCTTTGATCCCAGGACTCAGGAGGCAGAGGCAGGCGATCTCTATGAATTCAAGTCCAGCCTGGTCTATATAGTAAGTTCCAGGCCAGCTGGGGCTACAGGGAGATCCTGTCTCAAAAAAAAAGAGGCAGAGGCAAGAAGATCAAAAGTTCAAGGACACCCTGAGCCACATAACTAAATAGCTATACCTTGCCTCAATGCACAAAGCAATGACTGGCAAGGTGGCTCAGCAGGTGAAAGTACTTGCTGCCAAGCCTAACAACCTCATGAGCCTACATGGTGCGAGGAGAGAACTGACTCCTACAGGCTGTCCTCTGCCCTACACACATACACACACACACACACACACACACAAAATCTAGTTTTGTTTTGTTTTTTAAGAGTGGGTGTGTGGCTCAGAGATAGAGTACTTGCATAGCATAGACCAGGCACTGGTCCTGAGACACCCCCCCCATACTACAATAAATAAACTAATAAATACCCCAAAAGCTGGGGATATAGCTCAGCAATATAGTGCTTGCCCGGCAGGGACAGTCCTAGGTTCAACCCCTAATATTATAAAAATTAAGAATTAACCTATTCCTAGATGCAAAAACTAACTTTAGTCTTCTAAACTCTGTTGTCCGGCTGAAGAGATGGCTCAGCAGTTAAGAACACTTGGTTGTTCTTGCAGAAGACCCGGGTTCGAATCCCAGCACCCACATGACAGCTATCAACTGTCTGTAACTTTAGTCCCAGGGGATCCGACGGCCTCTTCTGACCTCCGAGGGCATTGCACAGCACAGGTGTACTTACCTACATGCAGGCAATACACGCATGCACATAAAATAAAATAAAAAAAGCCAGGCGTGGTGGCGTACACCTTTAATCCCAGCACTCAGGAGGCAGAGGCAGGTGGATCTCTCTGAGTTCAAGGCCAGCCTGGTCTACATAGTGAGTTCCAGGACAGCTGGGGCTACAGGGAGACCCTGTCTCAAAAAGACCAAAAAACTAATAATAATAATAATAAATAAATAAAATAAAATAAAATAAATAAATTTTAAAAAGTTTTATTTAAAAAAACCTGTTGTCTAAAATAGCATATAAAAATGCACACACACACGGGGCTGGAGGGATGGCTCAGCAGTTAAGAACACTGGTGGTTCCTGCAGAAGACTTGGCTTCGAATCCCAGCACCCACATGGCAGCTAACAACTGTCTGTAATTCCAGTTCCAGGGGATCCAACACCCTCTTCTGACCTGTGCAGGCACTGCATGACACAGGTGCTCTTATCTACATGCAGGCAATACACACATACACATAAAATAAAAATAATTAAATATTTTTTTAAATACACATACACAATTATCAGGAATCAAAATATCCTACATCTACAGATCTGTACACAATTCATCTTTATATTGTTGGTTAATAATATAAGGAAAAGAAATAATAAGGAATCAAACTGCATGACAGCCAACATTAACAAAGGACTGTGAAGCCAGACATGGCAGTGCACGCCTACAATTCCAACACTTGGGAGGTGGAAGAAGGAGGATCAGGAGTTCAAATCTAGTCTTGAGACACAGGAAGTTTAAGTTTATACTGTATGGGACCCTCTTTTTTTTTTTGGTCTTTTTGAGACAGGGTCTCCCTGTAGCCCCAGCTGTCCTGGAATTCACTATGTAGACCAGGCTGGCCTTGAACTCACAGAGATCTGCCTGCCTCTGCCTCCCGAGTGCTGGGATTAAAGGTATGTGCCACCACACCCAGAGGGACCCTCTCATTAAAAAACTTAAAGTTTAAAAAAAAGTTGCTTACAAAGAGCTTGTGGGCTAGGGATATAGCTCTTACCTAGCAAGTACAGGGCCCTGGGTTCCATCCCAACACTGTGAAAAGAAAAAAGAAAGAAAAAGGAAGAAAGGTGGGGAAGGGTTGTGACAACAGAATTCAACCTCTGGACCACCTCTGAAGCCAAACAAAAATTCTTACCAAAAATTTCCACTGGGAAATAAATATGGTAAAAAGATCAAGAAAGAAAAGCCCAGGTGGGCCAAACCCAGGAAAGTCTCCCTCAGTCTTCACTCAGTACAGTAACTGCTCGCAATCCACACCACTTCCTGCCCAGAGTGGGCTTTCAAGAAAAGAAAATGTAGGAGGTAATTACCACCATGGAATTTGTTAAGATTTCCACAAGATGGGAGGCATGGGGCTGTGTGTGTGTGTGTGTGTGTGTGTGTGTGTGTGTGTAGGCATGGGGCTGTGTGTGTGTGTGTGTGTGTGTGTGTGTGTGTGTTACTAGGGAGGGAACCTACAGACTCATGCATGCTAGGCAAGCACTCTACCTCTGAAGTCTATCCCCAATCCTCTTTTCAATTTGTATTTTGAGACTGTTATTATTTTATTCAATTTTTAAATTTTATTTTATTTTACTTTATTTGTCTCTCTAAATTGCCCAAGCTAGCCTTGAACTTAAGAGTCCTGCCTCAGCTTTTCCAAGTAGCTGGATTCCAGGCCTGCACCAGGCTTGGCATACATTTATTTCTTTAGTGCCTTTCCTTACTCTCTTAAATTCACAAGAGCTGTATCATCTGCATCACAGGGGTAGGGATTTTTGCCAAGAACAGAACAACAAATACACAAAACCCCTTGAGCTTTTCTCCCATCCCTTGGTTCTAGCCTAGCAGAAGAGGGATTCTCTTACTTGCACAGCTAGGAGCATCTGATAGAAATAGAGCTTGCAGGTTGCTTCCTTCAGACGTTTGTTCCCTACCACCCTGTCAAATAGCTCTCCACCTTCCATCCTGAAACACAGACAAAGCAGGGCTGTCATTCCTAGAAGGGCAGCATAATGGAAACAAAGTCATTTGGACAAGTCAAGGAAGGCAGGGAGGGAAGAGTAGCTCAGTGGTGCAGCACTTGCCTCACATGCTTGAGGCCCTGGCCTGGGTCACCAGCACCAAAAACAAAACAAGTGACATTTCTATTCATTCTTGACTCCTATTTTTAAGTTAATGAGGTCCGAAGCTGGAAAGACAGCTCAGTGGTTAAGAGCACATACAGCTTTTGCAGAAGAACTGAGTTCAATTTCTAGCACCTCACAACTAGCAGCTCACAACAGCCTCCAGGGAATGCAACTCATAGGTGCACATACCCACATGGAGACACATACTACATATAATTAAAAATAATAAAAAGTGAATCTTTTGGAAAATTAATGTGCTAATAAGCATCACCCACAATCAGATGTTCCAGGTGAATAGGAAGAAAAGATGGAGAGAATATGTAATAGGCATTTATGATTGATTCTTAGGGGCTTTTTTTATTTTATTTTTTATTTTATGTGTATGTGTGTATTGCATGCGTGTAGGTAAGTGCACCTGTGTCGTACTGACCCCGGAGGTCAGAAGAGGCTGTTGGATCCACTGGGATTGTAGTTACAGACAGTTGTTAGCTGCCATTTGGGTGCTGGGATTCAAACCCAGGTCTTCTGCAAGAACAAGCAGGTGTTCTTAACCGCTGAGCCATCTCTCTAGCCCCGATTCTTAGGGGCTTTTAAAAATCTGACTCTTACCACGTATGGTGGCACAGATCTTTAAACACCTTTAATCCCAGTACTCAGGAGGCAAAGGCTGGCGGATCTCTGAGTCTGAGGTCAACCTGGTCGACGTAGTGTATTCCAGGCCAGCTGGGGCTACAGGGAGACCTTATCTCAAAAAAGACGACGAATGAATGAATGAATGAATGAATGAATATCTGATTTTAGAGCCTGGAAGCAGGCCCAAGAGTTTGTGTTCCTGCCGTACCTTCACGTGATGCTGAAACTGATGCAGACAGCCAAACTGGAGTTTACAATCAGACAACTGGGGTCAGAACCCAATTCTACCCTTCCCACCTATGGGTTTTTGGGTGAGCTACCTAACCTGAATGCATACGTACATGGGTGCTCACACACACACTTTAGCCCACCCCCCAAATCCACACTGAGGGCCCTAGCATGAGAAAGGCAAGGCCACATGCAATTCTTTTCTGACTATAGGCACTTAAATGGTAAATGAAATTCAAAACGTTACTACTTACAACTCCAAAACAATGTAATAATCTTGCGCATCAAAAAAGTTTTTAATCTTGATGATACATGGCTAAAAAAGAGAAAAAAAATTGTGAGAAATGTCAAAAAAGAAAACCTCAAAAGACACAGAATTCGAGGCATCCATCTACCCAGGGGATCAGGAAGACCCAGAGTGGGCATTTGGTCCAGTATATCTAGAGAAGGCAAAGTGGAGTCTAGCTGACTCGTCTGTGGACACAGGAAACATTCTACCCCATAATGTCAGAAAGGGAAGCTGATATTTGTATATGAGAATATTCTACCTAGAAATGAAACCAGATCTTGCCAGCCTTCCTCCTCACCTGTCCAAAACAGGATTCAAGGAACCTGACAAGTATCATGAGTAAGCAGCAAGTGGCTGGGGGTGGAGCTCTGTGATGAGGAGCTTGCACAGCAGGCCTGAGACCCTGAGTTCAATCCCTGCACAGGAGTGAAGGAGAAAGAGGACAGACACCATCAAGCTAACCCATAATCCCAGCACCTGGAGGTGGAGGGAGGAAGATCAAGAGTTCAAGGTCAGCCTCATCTACACAGCAAGTTCAAGACCAGCTAGGCAATAGGAGACACCATCTCAACAACAGAAAATAAGGCTGGTTGAGAAGCCGGGTCATGCTGCCAGATATCAGCATCATCCAGCTGTACAGCTGGAACCACCCTGTACTGTGAGATCCTCCCATTTTTCCAGTGGAAGAAGCAAAGTCCAATTTTATAAGACCTTTCAAGCATGCCTGGAAGGGAAGATAGAGCTACATACAGGGTTGATAGTTTGTGATATTTGACTGATATAGGGGACAGAACACTTCAGGCAGGGAAGAGTGGGATTAGGCTGTCTCAAATGCATGCTTAGTGTTATGATTTCCCACTTACAAAGCACACCTATTGTTTTTACAACAGACAGTCAAGTTCAGTGGTAAGGGTAGGAACAAGATTGGGTGAGTAACCATCAGGGACACAGACCCCAGCAGAGAGAATTAAGGATGTTGTGAAAACAAAAGAGAGCTACATTTGTTGTAGGATTAAAATGAAAAATGGTAAAAATCACCATAGTGCTCTTCTTACAAAGCAAATTTCATCAAAACTGTGGAATTTGCCACAGTGAGCTGTCAGTTATCAGGCAGTCAATGAAGACCCCACTGCTTCCCCAGCATGGATGAGCCTGAGGAACACTGCTGAGCACTGAGGCAGTCACTGAAGATTTCCATTTTTATAAGGCTCAAAATAAGCAATAAAATATTGAGGGAAACAACAGTAAGTAATTCAGATGGATGTGGGGATTTTTAGAACATTTATTGTGTGTGTGTGTGTGTGTGTGTGTGTGTGTGTGTGTGTGTATGTACACATGCCAAGGAGCACGTATGGAGATCAGAGAACTTTCGGAAGTTGGTTCTTTCTTTACACCACCATGTGAGTCCCAGGGATGGAATTCAGGTAGTCAGGCTTGACATCAAGTGCCTTAATCCTCTACAGTATGTGTTAGAGAAGAAAAAGGAAAAAAAAAAAAAAAAAAAAAGACAAAGCACACCTATAGTCCCTGTTACTTGGAAACTGAGGCAGGAGGATCACTTGAGCCAGGAGTTAGCTTATCCCGGGCAATATGAAAAGTTCCTGTCTCAAAACAATAACAAAAAACAAAAACAAAAAAAAACCACTCAGGAGGCAGGCAGTTTGGGTAACTAATACAGCAAGACAAAACAAAACAAAACAAAAATGAAAGAAAGGGAGGGGGGAGGGGAGAAAAGTAGAAGGAAGGAAAAGGGGAAAGAAGGGAAGGACATAGCAAAGGAGGCAGGCAGGGAGGCAAAGTGAGCCTGGCAGGTACAGAGAGGAGGAAGAAGTCACAAAGAAAGTAAAAGAAAACCAAGCAGGAACACCAGCTGCTCAGCATCTGGCCAGCAAGCAGGTCCACCCAGTTCTAAATCAACCTACTGAAATACTGTGTCAATTTCAGTGATTTTCTTGTTCTTGGAGGGATGTGAGGAAGCAAAACAATGGAAAAGGAATTCTTTTGTTTGGCAGTTAAAAAGAATAAGGTAGCCTTTAGTTGAACAGGCTAGAAGATTTGGGTCAACTTTAACTCCAAGGCCTACCGAGCTTATGGTTTATGACTTCATGGGTACTCATGAATGAAGAAGCTGAAAGAACTAACAAAAGAAAGACAGGGTCAGACCCACACTCTACATGTTTCTACACTTTTGAAGTATAACAGGCCCTTCCACTGAGAGAGTCACCCTGAAACAAAAAAGAGAACTATTTCCACCCAATAGATACCCATACTGGCTCATCAGCTAGAGGATGCGACTTCTCACTACCTGTCAAGTGCCAATGGAATTAACCGGATTACTTCAAATAAAAGGTATTTAAGGGTGCCAAAACTTCATGTATAATTAACTTCACTATTCTTTACAAATATGGTCACTGTGGCAAATTATCATGAGAGAATAGTTTTGGTAAAGATCTCAAAAGAAATACCATGTGATTAGTAAATCATGAAATTAGGAGCACTTTACACAGTACTGTCCTCTCAAACTTTTGGAATAAAACTCTTCCAAGGTAAATGACACCTAGGTCCATGTACGTGTGTTCACACACATCCAGAGGAAGGAGCCTAGGGTTACACTGACATGTTTTCCACACTTCCCATATTTCGAAACAAGTTTCTATGAGTTATAGTAATACTTACATGATTTAGTTTTTTCAAAATTTCTATTTCATTTTCAACATTGAGAGCAGTGTCCTTAGATAAATAACATTAGAGTTTGTTAATAATACTAATAACCATAGTTGCCAGCATTTTCAAAATATTTACAGTTAAAAAAAACTCAGTTGAGTAAAGGCTGTCTGAATTATAAACCAAGCTCTAGTCATTCAGAGAAATCAAAACCTATAGCCTAATGAATTAAATAACTCCCCTAAATTCATTCTACAATACAATGGTAAGTTGTAAGCATTCAATAAATGGCCAGACCCAATGCCAATCTATATTTTGCTGTTGTGGGCTTTTTTTGTTTTGCTTTGTTGTTCTTTTCCAGTACTAGGAGCTAAACCAAGGATGTTCCCCATACCAAGCAAACATTCTACCATCGAGCTGCATCCCAACCCAAGGATCATCTCACAACAGCTTCATAATCCCCAACTGAACTGGATTCTAAAGTTATCCCCACTTTACAGATGAGGCAACTGAGGTTGAGAGAAGCAAAGCAACTTGTCCCAGGTCCTGTCAGAAGCAAGTATGTTTCCACTAATTCTAATTATCTCAGGGAATTATTCACATTCATAAAAAAATGATAAATGAGCCAGGCGTGGTGGCACACACCTTTAATCCTAGCACTCAGGAGGCAGAGTCAGGCGGATCTCTGTGAGTTCAAGGCCAGCCTGGTGTACATAGCGAGTTCCAGGACAGCTGGAGCTACAGGGAGACCCTGTCTCAAAAAGACCAAAAAAAAAGATAAATGAGGGGCTGGAGAGGCGGCTGAGTGGTTGGGAGCACTAGCTGTTCTTGCAGAGGACAAGCGTTCAATTCCCAGCGCCACATGGCGACTAACAACCATCTATAACTTCAGTTCCAGGGGATCCGACACCCTCTTCTGACCTCTGTGGGTACTGCATGGGAGGGGCACACTTACATACATACAGGCAATACACTCTTACACACAAAATAAAAACAATAAAATATTTTTTAGATGATAAATGAAAATCATAGACAAGAAGACATTTACTATAAAAGAAAATGTTAACTCAGATGTCTAATGAAGCAGACCCAACTTCAACTGCAAACTAACATGTTTGTTGAGACTGAGGGAAGGAGGTTCACAGGACTGAAGTTGTTCTCCACAATTCCAAAAGGGTGAACTTCATAACTCAACTTGCTGGGCTACACCCTCCACTAGCAAAGGATATAGAATTATATATTTATGTAAAATGGACTTTGGCTAAAAGGCCTAGTTGTTTACTTTTAAGGTCTTGCCTTTTCCTGTAAGTTATTACCCTCATTACAGGATGTGTGTCCTCTGATGAGAGAGGGGTCATAAAGAGGCCAATGAGGGAGAGTAAAATTAAGAAGTAAAGATTTACTCTAAGTTTGGAACAATAGACATTTTCTTCTCCCCTAAATGGGAAACAGATCCAGAATCACAGGGGAAAAGGCTTGTAGCAAAGTGAACACAGAACGGAAATTCCTCTTGCCATGTGAGAATAGAATTGTCTAGGGAGAAAAAAATGTGAAGAATGTTAAAGTATAATAACCAGAAACAGCTGGCTGCCAAGGAAGAGGTGATGGGACTGGGCCTGGTGTCACTATTGAGTTATGTGTGGAGAGACTAATACATTTAGCAATATCATTCAGTAAATGTGCACTGCAGAAGAACTGATAAAATGTGTAACTACTACATACAAACTATTTCAGTTTTAAAAATCTGCAACCAAGAACTGGGAATGCAACTCAATGGTTGAACACTTATCTCGCATTCATGAGCCCCTGAGTTTGATCCCCGGGACCACAAAAAATAAATGTCTATGACTAATGCATCAGCACTAAAATAGAGCACAGCACCCAAAAAGGCAAAGAATTGGGTATTACCTAAAGACCAACAAGAGAATTACCTAAATAAATTATGCTAAAATCAGGGCCATTCCTTGCCTGTTTAGACTTTGAGAATCTCTCCAAATCTGTCCTGTTATCATCCAAAACACTTGTACAGTTTTCAACTCCCATCTCAGAACTAAATTCAAACATGCAAAATGCCTCAGACACTGCTTACGGCTCTTAGGAAAATATCTAAGGCTTTGTGGGTCACAACAGGTGCAGGAGAGTTTGGAAAAACAGGCTGTTTCTCTCCTTTACCATTTCAGTTTTTCACACTTCCTAACTGCAGTTAGAGAAACTATACTCTCAAACTGAGTCAAAATACACCTTTCCTTTCTTTAAAAAAAAAAAAAAAAAAATGAATAAATTAGGTGCTGGAGAGACGGTTCAGAAGTTAAGAGCACTAGCTGCTCTGACTGAGGACCTGGGTTCTGTTCCCAGCACCCACATGGCAGCTAACAATGGTGTATAGTGCTAGTTCCAGGGGATCCAATGCCCTCTTCTGGCTTCCACAGGCACTGCATGCACATAGTGTATTTACATACATGTAAGCAAAACACTCATACACATAAAATACAAATAAAAAAATTTTTTTTAATTGTTTTTAGTTGTTTAGGGAGCACTCCTGACTCACTAGAACGCTTTGCTCTTCACAAGCTTCATTTCTGCTAAAACAACCTAAGTGTTGCTTAATGAAACATCTAAAAGAGAGGGATGCAGGTAAACTGTGTTAAGGCGGTGAAATGGAGGGGTTTATGTAAGCATGCACATGCAGAAAGTAGAAGGACAAGCTGTCTATACAAGACGATTTCACCTCTCTCAAAACACTGATTTGTACCAAAATGATAGGAAAATGGAAGAGCAGTGGGTTACACTGGGGATTCTGACTGTTTTTTCCCTATGATTTCCTTTCTGTTACTTTAAAAACAGTCTTGTAACAACTTTGAGCAGGAAGACAAGAATAAGACCTTTTGCTATATACATGATTATATACAACCGATTACTTCTGGAACTAAATTATAAATAAGTTTCTAGATTACTCAAAAGACAGAACTTTTTCAGTGCTGTTAGACAGTGAAAAAGTATTACAGTAAGCAGTGCATTCCTCCAGAGAATGAAGGAGTAGTTGGATTAGTTATTGAAACTATAAAAAAGAGCAAAGACTTGGGCTACAAACATAGGTACTTACTGCTTCTCTGGAAGAGCCGATAGCAAATTTCCTCTTGCTGATGATCTTTATGGCTACTTTCTTACATGTTTTCCTCTCAAAAGCCAGCTTTACTTCCCCACAAGCACCACTAATGGGAAAGACACAGACAGTAACTTTTCATGATGTTTCATCATTAAGATCCACTATGTTCAAGTCTGCTTTGACTATAAGAAATTAAAGATGGGGACCGGGGAAATGACTCAGTGGGCAAAGTGCTTGTCATGCAAGTGAGACCTGAGTTCACATCCCCAGAACCCATGTAAACAAGGCATCATGGCACACATGCTAGCTATAAGGCCAATGATAACCCTGAATTCCTGATCCTCCTGCTAAATTTTAAAAATAGAATAACAAGTGTTTTCCCACCATACATGGTTATCTTTTTTAATACTGGAGATTGAACCCAACATCTTTTTGTTTCAAAAAGAATTTAGCATTTAATGAACCTCCTTGTATGACTTCAAGCCATCAGGACACAGGTGCTACCCATGTCCTCAACCATCTCCTTAGCTCTGCTAAAGAATTTGTCCTTCACCAGAACTTTGTAGAAGCCAGTTCACATAACATCAATGATGGCTACAGCTCCAGTCTTGTTTTTGTCAGCATTTACCCATATCTGCTCACAGACCAAAGTCCACAATTTACCAAGGTTGTCAGTTGGGCAGAAGCTCTGGTTCCTCTTTAAGTAGTAATGCCTCATACCAATTTTCCCAAAGTAACCAGGATAATATTTGTCAAAGTTGACCCTGTGGTGATACATACCATCAGCATTACCCTGGCCTCCTAGGTGCTTCTGTGCTTACCAACAAAGTCATGGCCTCGGCTCACATAACCCCAGAGTTTCCAGATCTTCCCTAGTCTGGCTGGCATGGTGGTGGCCAAAAGGAGAGTGAACCCAAGACCTTACACTAAGTTACATATGTAATTTAGAAGGGTAGGGGCTGACAAGATGGCTCAGCAAATATAGTAACTGCTGTACAAACTTGACAACCTGACTTCAATCTCTGGAACTCATGGTGGAAGGAGAAAACCAACTCCTAAAAGTTATCTTTTGACCTTCACATGCAGGCTATGGTATACAAATATGTATACACACACACACACACACACACACGCACGCACACACATACACACAAATAATCAAGAAAATAAAATAAATAAAAATAAAGGGTGAAATTAAGCCAGATGTGGTGGTACATGCCTAAAATACCAGCATTTGTGAGGGTGAAGCAGTAAGACCTCAAGTTCAAAGATAGTGTGGGGTTATACAGCAAATATAGGCCAGTCTGAGTCACACAGTGAGAGACCTTATCTCATATAACCAAAAGTAGGCTAGTGAGATACCTCATAGGGTAAAAGAGCATGGTGCCACATTTGATAACCTGAGTGCCATCCCCATGACCCACATGATATAAGATGAGAACCAACTCCTGCAAGTTGTCCTCGGATTTCCATAGGTACACTGTTGTATGCATGTGTTGCAAGGGCATGCACATACCCACAAAAAAATAAATAAAAACATTTTTAATAAAAAAATACACTGGGTACAGTAGCTCATGTCTGTAACCCCAGCACTCAGGAGACAGAATTGTTCATGAGTTTGAGGTCAGCCTCTGTCTCAAAAAATCAAAATTTGGGACTAGAGAGATGGCTCAGAGGTTAAGAGCACTGGCTGCTCTTGCAGAGGACCTAGATTCAGTTCCCAGCACCCACATGGCAGCTACAGCCTTCTGTAACTTCACTTCTGAGGATCCTATGGCCTCTTTTGGCCTCCATGATCTGAAATGATCATTGTCAAATAAAGCAGTAATAGACCTATCACAAATACATGTTCAACAGTTTTGTAATAATGAATGTTATAAAACCAAGTACAAAAAAAAAAAAAAAAAAAAAAAAAAAAAAAATCAATGAAAGTATGTAAGAAAGAAATGAAGCCGGGTGTGGTGGCGCATGCCTTTAATCCCAGCACTCTGGAGGCAGAGGCAGGCAGATCTCTGTAAGTTCAAGGCCAGCCTAGTCTACATAGTGAGTTCCAGGACAGCTGGAGCTACAGGGAGACCCTGTCTCAAAAAGACCAAAAAAAAAAAAAAAAAGAAATGAAGTGTGATCTATTTTTTACATACAGAAAAAAAACTTACCTTCCAAGTGTTTTTGACATGATGTATTCATCTCTTAATTCCTTAGGATAAACTGATTGATCATCTACCGTCAGATCAAAAAATACAAAAACTAGGAGAAAAGGACGAAAATGGACTTCTTAATTCAGTATTAGAAAATTGGTTCTAAAATTCTGTTAAGCCCCATGACCTGAGCTTGATCCCCAGAACCCACAGTAGATGGAGAGAACTTATTCCCAGCAGTTCTCCTCTGACATCCACGTGTAAGTGGTGGCATGTGGAAGCCTGTGCTTGCACACAAAATCATACACACACACACAGTAAATGAGTAAATGTAAATAAATAACATGGAGAAGTGACAGGTAAACATTGTCCTCTGGCTTCCACACCCACTTGCACAGGTGAGCACACCTACACAAACACATGCACACATCCATACACCACACACACAAAGAAAAAACTCTTGTCGGTAAGAAAAAAATTAATGCAACTAGGAAGGTGGCATTAACTCTTGAATGTTATCTTACTTAATCTGACTAACTTAAGTCATATTCTACAAGGACACAACTTCCCTTTTATTAGGAGGTTAAGCCCAGCAAGAGGCTGGAGAGATGGCTCAGAGAGATGGTTTAAGAGCACTTGCTGCAGAGGACCCAAATTTGGTTCCCAGCACCCACATCAGGTGGTTCACAACTGCCTGTAACTCCAGTTCCAGGGAATCTAATATGCTCTTTTGACATCTAAGGGCACCTGCACACATGTGGCATACACTCAAACTGACACACACATATACATAAGTAAATATAATATAAATCTGTCTTTAAAAGCACAGTAACTGTGAGATAATATTACCTTTATTTCTACAAAGTGAAAGTGCAATTTCAGAGTTGTTACTCAAAGGCCGTCGTTTTCCTTTTCCTACAAGCTCCATATTCACAAAGGTTCCATTCCCGCTATGATCTTCTATGTATGCAATGTAAGAGTTTTTAGGACCCATTTCCTAAAATAGAGAATATTTATTGCAAAGTTTTAATGGCAGGGATTAACAGTGGGAAGATGCCCAATAGCAATGACTGGATTACAGCTCTCCCAAGAACATGACTGACTGTCACTTACCCTGAAAATCCGAAAGTGTTTCTTGCTATATGTCCGGTACTTATCGGTTCTTTTCAGCAGTGGGGAGTCAAAGCAATAGTCACAGCTTTTATCCCTCCCAAACCAGTAGCTGTCATTAACACAGTCTGTAACACAAAAGCACGTAGCAGAGGATGTGGAATTTCATGTATCAAAATCCCCTCAGTAGGTGCTCAAACATCTCCTTGAAGAAAAGCAGTCAATTGAATATATATATATATATATATATAATTTTTAAAATGACATATATTATACATAATTTTAAAATAACAAAAATTAAAATCTTCATTTAAAAAAAGTAGAGATGGTATTAATAATCAAAGAACTCCCAACCAAGGAAGGGTAGGCCCATTTGGCTTCATTTTAAATTCTCCCAAACATTTAAAGAATTAAAAATTCAGTGGGTATGGTGGCATATGCCTTTAATCCCGGCACTTGGGAGCAGAGGCAGGCGGAGCTCTGTGAGTTCAAGTCCAGCCTGGTCTACATAGTGAGTTCCAGGACAGCTGGGGCTACCGGGAGACCCTGTCCCCCCCCCCCAAAAAAAAATTACTACAAATTCACACCTTTAATCCCAGCACAGCACTCAGCAGGCAAAGGCAGGCATATCTCCATGTGCTGGAGGCCAGCCTGGTCTACATAGTAGAGTTCCAGGGCTGCATAATGAAACCCTGTCTCAGAAAACAACAAAAGGAATTTAGATGCAAGGCTGGTGAGATGGCTCAGTGGTTAAAGATGTCTGCTGCCAAGCCTGAGGACCTGAGTTCTACCTTAGGACCCACATGGTGGGAGAGAACCACTTCCCTTAAGTCATGCTCTGACCACCACATGTCCTCTGTAGCACAAGCACACACATTAAATAAATAAATGTTTAAAAATTAAAAAGAGCTGAGCATGGAGGTGCATACCTTTAATCCTAGCACTGGTGGGGAGGGGACCTGGGGAGCAGAGGCAGGAGGATTTCCAAATTGATTCCAGGCCAGCTGGAGCTACCCTGTCTCAAAAAGACCAAAATAGGGGGCTGGAGAGATGGCTTGGCAGTTAAAAACATTTGCTGTTCTCCCAAAGGACCCAGGTTTGATTCCCAGCACCACATGGCAGCTAACAATCATCCCTAAGTCAAGGTCCAGGGGTTCTGACCTCTGCATAGGCATTGCATGCACATGGTGCACTTACATACATGCAGGCAAAACACAGAATATAAAAAAATAAATAAAATATTTTTAAAAGACCAGAATAAATAAATAGAATGCAAATGCAAAAATGCTCAAAGTAATTGCACCTAAATCAAACAATATATAAAAACAGATTATAAACAGGTGTGGTAGTCATGTCTACAGTCCACACCTGTAATCCCAGCACTCAGGAACATGAGTGAATTCAAGACCAGAATGGGCTATTTGGTGAGTTCCTAGGATAGGCTACAGAGTGAGACCTGTCCCAACAGAACAAAGTTAGGTGCGATAGTAATCCCAGCACTCAGGAGGTGGAGGCAGAAGGATCAGGAGTTTAAGGCTAGCCTCAGCTACAAAGTAAGTTCAAAGTCAACCTGGGCTAATGAGACTCTATGTCAAAAAAAAAAAAAAAATCCCGAAGTACAAAACTTGTACATTGAAATGCAAAAAAAAAAACAAAACAAAAAACCACTGTATAGAGAAATGATTGAAATTACTGAAAAGATACCCCACATTCACAGATGAAAGAAAATATGGTTATAATTGTTCATCCCTGTTGGGTACAGTGGTACATATCTGTAATCCTGGCACTCAGGAGGCCAAGGGTAAGAGAATGGTGAGCTAGCCTAAGCTACCTAGCTACCTAGTGAGACCCTGGTTAAACTTGATTGTCAATCTGACTGGATCTGGAAACAACTAAGAGATACTCCTCTGGGTGGGTCTGTGAGGATATTTCCAGGAGGGATTAGTGAGGAAGAGACTCTCCTCCAGAGTGGGTGGGACTTTCTATCTGCCCAGATATGCAGTCCAAGGGAGAGCAGCGCTTCCTGCTTGCCTGCCTTCACTCCTCCCTGCTGAGTCGACAGACCCTGTTATCATTGCTGCCACCCTCGGCTGCTTCCTCAGCCTCAATACAGCTGCCTTGCAGGAATCCTGGCCTTCAGTGCCAGACTGGGGCTGCTGAGGCATCCAGCTTCCTGCACTAGGCAGCTACTAGGTTCTCTGTCTCTCCAGCATGCAGACAGCTACGATTCAACTACCCAGACTACATTCTGTAAACCAATCTAATAAATCCCCTTGTAATACATTCATTCTATTGGTTCTGTACTTTAGAGAACCTGGATTGAACTGATCTTCAGAGTCAGTGTAATCCCCACAAAAGCCTCAGCTGCGTTCTTTGCAAAAGGTGACAAGATTATCCTAAAATTCATAGGGAAATGCAAGGACACAGAACAGCCCAAACAACCTTAAAAAAGAGCAAACTGGGACTCATGCTTCTGGATTTCAAAATTTACTACAAAGCTATAGTAATCAGGATTTTGTGGTACAGCATAAAAACAGACACATAAAGCAACAGAAGAGAATGGTCCTCAGAACTAGAAATGGCTCAGCAGTTAAGATTTGCTTCTCTGTCATGAGCACCAGAGTTCAGATCCTAGAACCCCTGTCCAACAGCTTACAATCCAAGACCACTCAAATGGGAGAGAAGAGTGTCTTTTAGAAATGGTGCTTCATCAACGGAAATCCATATGCAAATTTATAAATTTGTAGCCAGATGTGCATGGTACATGCAATCCCAACTACTTGGTAGGCTGAAGCAAGAGGACTGATGCAAGTTCAAGGCTACAAGGAACTACATAGTGAGTTCCAAGTTTACTTGGGCTACAGAATAAGACCCTGCCTCAAAAATAAACAAGGAGTGGGAGAGATGACTCAGTGGTTAACTAAGTGCATTTACTGCTCTTCCAGAGGTCACAAGTTCAGTCCCAACATGCACATGGTGGCTGACAACTGTAACTCCAGTACTAGGGAGATCGGATGCCATCTTCTGGCCTCTGTGGGTACTGCAAAACACTCATACACATAATTTAGCAAGATTCTATCTCAAAATAAAAATAAGGGGCTGGGGTTTGAACTCTTGTCTACTATGCATAAAGCCCAAGTTTAGTCCTCAGCACCAAAAAAAAAAAAAAAAAAAAAAATAGAGCCCATGGCAGTAACAGCTCGTGCACTACCCAACACCATAGACTCTTATAAAAATCTTTTGTCACCTCCAAACTACAGACATTACAGGAGTTCTGAGCTTTCTGCTACAACAACCTAACAACTTTCTGAACTACTTCTGTAAACAATACACTCTACTATACAACAAAATGCCTTACCAAGATTGGAGAATCCATCCTGAAGAGCCCATAGCCGAGCCCAAGGGACAGGGACAGGCTCCTCAGGTTCTTGGTCCTCAGGAATAGAACAGAGTTCCTGAGTGGACACTGTCTCTAAGGAACTCAGCGTCCCAGAGCTGGAGTGGGAAGACTGGCTGGAGGTTGGCACTGTGCCGGTGGAGGAGCTGGATGTGCCTTGAGATGATGAGGAGAGGAGGTGCAACTGAGAGACGGTGCCTTGGGATGTGGAGAAGCCACCTTGGGACTGTGAACAGGCACCACTGCCATGAGTCTGGGAGGAGGTGCTGCCATGGGACTGCTGACTCTCTGCATCTGTCTCCCGAGACATCACAACCTCAAAGGCAATGTCCAACAATAAGGTGAGGTTCAAAGAACAAGGATTAAAGTTCAAGAGTGAAGGATGGGAGCTGGAGAGATAGCTCAGCAGTTAGGAGTACATACTGCTCTTGCAGGAGACCCAAGTTAATTTCCCAGCATCCACATCCAGTGGCTCACAACCACCTGTAACTCCAGCTGTGAGGACCCAACACCCTCTTCTGGATACAGTGGGCTCCTGCCTTCCCACGTGCATATTCCCTCATATAGACACACATATATACATAATTCAAAATAAAATAAATCTTTTTTTAAAAAAGAGTGAAGAATGGGACAGGGAATGTAGCTCACTGGTAAAAGTACTTTTCTAACATGTGCAAAGTCCTGGATTCCAGCCCCAGTATCACCTAACACAAACACACAAAAAGTGTAAAATTTAGGCAATTTAAAGATGGCCTAGTGGTTAAGAGCATATACTATCTTACAGAGGACTGGAGCACCCATGTCTGACAGATGACAACTGCCTATAACTGCAGCTTCAGGGAGCTCCAACACCCCCTGCTGGCCCCGAAAGACACTACACAAACTTGCACAAACCCATACACAGGCACACACACACACCCATAATTTTAAAAATAATTTAAAAAAAAAAAAGAATAAACATAACAACCTCAAAAAGAAAAGTAGGACAAATATGCCCTGAAAAAATTAAAATCCCTATTAGAATTTTTTCTTTGAGGGCAAGCAGTGTTTAAGACAGGATCTTCCTGTAGCTCCAGCTGGCCTGGAACTTGCTGTGTAGATCAGGCTGACCTGAATCTCAGAGATCCGCCTGCCTCTTAACTCCCAAGGCTGGGATTAAAGGTATATGCCCCCACACCCAGTTCCTTATCAGAATTTTAATCCTACTGTCTAGAGCTATGGGTCTTCTGAACTGAGCTTTTATTTATAAGATCACTTTCTTTGGATCAGTTTTTTGTCTAATAGTCATAAGCCACTGAGGAAAAATACAAAAGAAATTATCTGAAGGCTACAAATAAATGGGAGGTAGCAGGGGAGAACATAAAGGCTCCCAAGCATCCAATTTTAGTTAAGAATAAAAGGGCTGGGAATATGGCTCAGTAGTAAAGTACTTGTCCAGCATCTATGAAACCCCAGGCTTAATGACCAACACCACAAGAATAATAGATAAATAAAATTACGAATAAAACAAACATTTTCATAAAATCAACCTACACCTAAATACTATGTATGTATTTGAGAAAGGTCAGGTGGCCGAGGCAAAAACGATTAAAAAAGAAACTCTCTTCCTCTACTTCGGTGGGATCATTTATAAAAGTGTCACTGACACTCCTTTAAGAAACATGTTTGTCGCCAGGCGTGGTGGCGCACCCCTTTAATCCCAGCAAAAAAGAAACATGTTTGTCGGTGCTGGAGAGAAGAGGACCCAGGTTCAATTCCCAACACCCACATGGTGGCTAACAACTGTCTGTAATTCCAGTTCTAGGAAATTCAACACCCTCTTCTGGCCTCTGTGGGCTTGCACAACATGGTGCACTTACATACATGCAGGCAATATACTCACACATATAAAATAAAAATAATAAAATAATTCAAAAAATAAAAAAGAAATACATTTATCTCTGGGTGCTCAGTCTGAATCCTAGCATTGCTGACAGCTTCTTACAACAAGTTTTTTGTGGTTTTTTTTTTTTTTTTTTTTGGTCTTTTTGAGACAGGGTCTCCCTGTAACCCCAGCTGTCCTGAGACTCACTATGTAGACCAGACTGGCCTTGAACTCAGAGATCCACCTGCCTCTGCCTCTGCTGGGATTAAAGGCGTGCACCACCAGACCTGGCTTTACAACATGTATTTTTATCTCCTTACTTTTTACTAGCTCATCCCTTGTTACTCTAACCATTTGTTGTGGTTAATAATTATCTGTATTAAATTTATCTTGTTCAATTTTTTAAAGAAAGAAAGAAAAAGAAATTCATTTGTTGTCTTTAATCCCAGTACTCCAGAGGCAGAGGCAGGCAGATCTCTGTGAGTTCAAGGCCAGCGTGGTCTACACAGCAAATTCCAGACCAGCTGGGGCTACAGGGAGACCCTGTCTCAAAAAGACCAAAAAAGGAAAGAGAGAGAGAGGGATTAATATCTCTGAGGGAGGGAGGGAGGGAGGAAGGAAGGAAGGAAGGAAGGATGGAAGGAAGGAAGGAAGAAAAGAAAGAAAAATATTTGTTGCCTGAAATAGTAACTAGTGACACACACCTGTAATCCCAACACTCAGATGGGCAGATCTTTGTGAGTTCCAGGCCAGTCAGGGCTACATAGTGAGACTCTGTCTCAAAAAAGAAAAGAAAAGAAGTTTTTCTTTTCTGTTCCTTCTGGTGTTGGAGGTCAAACCCATAGCCTCAACGCCTCTGGGCAAGCATTCTCCTACTGAGTTAGAGCCCCAACTCAGGTACTCCATTTATCCCTAGCTTTTTCCAAAAGGGTAGGAACCACCTTCCATGTTCATGTTCAGTCTAGGTTTGCTGACACCTGAGACACAAACCACTTAAAGACACAAAACACAAGCAACCCTGCTTTAAACAACTCCAGTAAACCCTGTGCAAAGTAGCTCTGGGGCTCATCTTCCAAGCTTCCAGTGGCCTTAAGGATATGATATCTTGAAGGAACCATTCCTTGGATCATAAGGGCCATAAAAGAGGCTCCCATGCTGGGTGTGGTGGCACACGCCTTTAATCCCCGTACCTAGGAGGCAGAGGCAGGCAGATCTCTGCAAGTTTGAGGCTAGCCTGGTCTACACAGTGAGTTCCAGGCCAGCTGGGGCTACAGGGAGACCTTGCCTCAAAAAGACCAAAGAAAAAGAGGCTCCCACCCTTGAATTAACTTGATGCATAGTTAACATTCTGAAAAGCAGAACCACCAGTAAAGTTACTTTCAATGCTGACTTAATCAGATTTCTTTTTGTAATAAGGCCCACTTCCTCTTCCCTACATGACATACGGGTGAATATTATTCCCACTGACTGTGTTTATGTAGGTCCTAATGCGTTTTCCTTAAATCATACACACAGCTGGGTCTGCAGGTATTAAGCCTGAGCTAGGCTGTATCCCTCCATAGTTGTTTCAACTCCCTCTACCCCACCCCACCTCCAGCAGGGATCAAACCCAAAGCCTTACATCCCAGACCCGCTGCAGCTTTTTAAAAAATATTTTATTTCCATTACACATTTTTCAAAATATTTATTTTTATTTTATGTGTATGAGTGTATTGCCTGCATGTAAGTAAGTGCACCCATGTCGTTCAATGCCGGTGGAGAAGAGAAGAGGCTGTAGGATCCCTGTAACTGGAATTACAGACAGTTGTTAACTGCCATGTGGATACTGGGATTTGAACGCCAGTCTTCTACAAGAACAGCCAGTGTTCTTAACTGCTGAGCCATCTCTCCAGCCCCTTATTATTATATTTTTTAATGTGTATAAATGTATTGCCTGCATGTGTGTAAGTGCACCTGTGTCATGTAATGCCTGAGTACGTCAAAGGGTGTAAGATCCCCTGGAACTGTAGTTATGGACCATTGTTAGCCGCCATGTCGGTGCTAGGAATCGAACTCAGGTCCTCTGCAAGAGCAGTCAGTACTCTTAACCTTTGAGCCATCTCTCCAGCCACTAAAGCTTTTTTGAGCAATACTCCACACTAACAAGTGGAGAAAGACTGTAGTGTCAAGAGGTAGCTATAAGAGGCTAGAAGCAAGTCAAGTCTGACCCTGGTACCATAATTCTGCATGCTGTTTAAAATTTTTATTTATGTGTATGAGTGTTTGCCTCCATGTATGTAAGTGCACCACATGTGTGCAATGCCAGCAGAGGTCAGAAGAGGGCATCAGATTCCCTAGAAATGGAGTTAAGGATGGTGGGTGCTGGGAACAGATCCCAGGTCCTCTTTAAGAGTAGCCAGTGCTCTTAATCGCTGAACCACCCTCTTTAAATATATCACCACAGCCTCTAGGAATCTGTTTCCTAATCTGAAGATGAAATGAGTTGAACAAAGAATGTTCCTCCCCTAACCTGGAAAATGTTTGCTACTCTTATCAGAAGGCCAGTGGTGAGTGAAAAAACAAAGTGACCACAGCAGAATTCCAGGACTATGAAGAGAATTGCAGTCCTCAAGCATCCAAGAGGCCCTTTATAAGGTGCCACACCATCTTTCCTTCATGTAGAGAAACTGAGGATGGCTGGTTCCCTCCTCTCTACTCCTTACTAGCCCACCCCACACACTCATGCACCCTCTCCAAACATCCTCCTACCTGGCCTGTGGGTTTCCAGTTCCTGCGGAGGGTTCTCAGTATGGGGGATTGAATATAGAGACTGGCAATAACCACTAACATTTACAGAACTCTACAAAACTTCGCTCTGGTCCAGAAGAGCCCAACTCTGTGCCTTCTCATTTGTCCAGACCTGTTCAGCTGATAAGTAACAAATGAATTTCACCTCCAAGGGCAGCTAAAAAAGAGTCACCCACGCACACACCCCCCATACACACAGCTAAACAGAGAAGGCGGAAACTGAGGAGTTCCCACGTGCACAGATCTGAGAACGGGACTTGAACCCCCTTACACTCAAAAAAACTTTCCCACTATGACTCACCGCGTGAGACCACCTGGAGCCGCAAACTCTCCGCAGCCGCTGCCAGTCGAGTGGCGCTAAACTAGCAGATACAAACTCCACCCTCCGCCAATCAAAACGCCCCTCGCCGCAGCCAGACCAATGAGGAGTCGCGAATGTGCCCGCTACACGTAGCCTCAAGGCTTGCTGGGAGTTGTAGTTCAGAACGCGGAACCGGACTCAGCATCCTAGCTTCCCGCGGCTGATCCCGCCTCCTCGGTTCTTCATCCAATCAGCGGCTTCGGTTTGGCCGGTCGTTCTTTCCGCTCTTTCCCGCAGACTGGCTCCGCGATAGGCCAGTGGCCAGATGTGGGGGCGCAGGGCCGGGGCCTTGCTTTCGGTATGGGAGTTCCGGCTGGCAGGGGTCCCCGGAAGGAGGCTCCGAAGCTGCGACGCCGCCTCGCTGGAGGGAAGCGGTGCGCCGCGATGCTGGCGCTGCGGCGGCGCAGGGGGCCCCGGGCGGGGGAACGGATTCTTCTGCCAGCACTGCGGCGCGCTGCAACCTCCGGACCCTACTCGAGACTACTTCAGCCTCATGGATTGGTACGGGACTCAGGTCTGGGCTGCCCGGAAGAAGGCCGGGCTGGTCAAATAGGTGGCCTGGAGATAGGGCTGAATGAGCTGGAGGATGCCCGGATCAGGTGGCAAGACCTGGTTGCCCATCCACCCGGAGGACCACAAGTTAAAGGCCCAGTTTAGGCAATTTACCGCGACTGACTCAAAAATAAGTAATAGAGGGGGATAAGTGCATAGCTCAGTGGAAAAGCACTGCCTGGCTTGCCTAAAACCAGATACCGTGGAGTTTCGCAGTGTTTACTGAGGCAATTGATGGTTTCAAACTGGGGCTAGGGGCCGTAAGGATGGAAAATGGAGGTGGAGATAGAGAGGTATGGTGGCAACTGCCTGTAATCTCTCCCCTGGGGAAGTGGAAGCCGGAGGAGCAGGAATTCAAACCTGGCCTCGGCTACACGAGACCTTGTTTTAAAACTTCAGCAAAAAAAAGAGAAAAGGTTACTGTATAGAGGGACGGGATCTCTAGGGTTTTTAGGTTTGGGTTTGATTTTGGGTTTTTTATTCATTGTATTTTGACAGGTTCTCCCTAGTCACAGCCCGCCTGGAAGTCAGGATGTGAACAAGGGGTGGCCTAGATCCTGCTGCCTCTGCCTCCAGAAGGCTGGGATTAAAGGCGCACGCCACCTCGCCCAGCATAGGGACCAGATGTTTGAAAAAGGGAAGAAATCCAGAGACAGAATTTGAGGGAAGAAACTGGGTCAGAAAAGTGGAGATTTTCTCTCTCTCTCTCTCTCTCTCTCTCTCTCTCTCTCTCTCTCTCTCCCTCTCCCCCCCCCCCCCTCTTTTCTTTTTGTGACAGTATCACGGTGTAGCCATTCCTAGCCTGGAATTCTATGTGTAGAACAGACTGGCCTTGAACTCACAGAGATCTGCCTACCACTGCCTCCCAGGTGCTGGGATTAAAGGCATGCATCACCCAGCCCAACACTCCCAGCTTTAAAAGGAGGCAAGGGTAGGTGGATCTCTGAGTTCTGGGCCAGCCTGGTCTGCATAATAAGACCCTGTCTCATTACATGCATACATACATACATACTTTTTTTTTAGAAGAAGCACATCATTACAGCTTTGACATGCCCAATAACAGTTTAACAGTTTCTGACACAGCTCCTTCAAAAGTGGCTACAAAATTTCTAGGTTCTCTGTTGAATTAAAATACAATATTGAACTCAGTATAAGCCCTGTAAGACATAAAATTGAATGAGTTTTTAACCCTCAAAAAAGATCTCCATTTCATCCTAAAACATACTGTTTCTTAGAGAAAGACTCATTGTTTTTGCTACTAACACTGAGATGTTGGCACATGCGTCTCTAATCTGTATGTATCTGATTATTACTAGTCATAATCCTTTGCACTCGGATCCTTGGCGCCTGTGTATGTCTAAAAGTCATTGGGTAATTTCAACGGTAATGTTCATCACCTCTACTAATTAACATGACGTCAACTTTTATGCTTCCTACTCAAATATAATACAAAAATTTGTTGATTTTTTTTTTTTCTGTGTGTGTATATCACACAGAAACACAGAACATCCCATACATACAGATTTTTAAAAAAATAAAGCAAGGCAAGTATAGTGGTGCATGCCTGTAAGCTCATCGATGACTCAGATTAAGTGGGAAGATTACAAGTTTGAGGGCAACCTTGAGTTGTACAGTGAGTTTAAGGCCATTCTGGGCTACATGAGACTGTCCAAAAAATAAAAAAGGGCAATATCCCATTCATGAGTGAAACAACATATATTCAATTCTTGAAGGAAGAGGGAATAATTAATTAAAATAAAACAAGCCAGTGTGGCCTGGAATGCCAGTACTCTAGAGGCTGAAGGAAAGGGCTCACAAGTCCAATTTAGGCTAAGCAGTAAGCTTGTCTCAAGAAACCAAAATTTTTAATTTATCTTTATGTGTATGACTTTTGCCTGCATGTTTATAAGTGTGCCTGTGTGATGCAGTACCTATAGATACCAGAAGAGGGCATCAGATTCCCTGGAACTGGAGTTAAAGATGGTTGTTAGCCACCATATGAGTGCTGGGAACCAAACCTGGATTCTCTGGCAAAGTAGTCAGTACTCTTAACCACTGAGCCATCTCTCCAGCCCCCAAGAAACCAGAAATGCAATTCAGAGGCTGAAGATGGTAGTGCACTTTCCTAGTATGTGTAGGGGTTCCAGCTCCAGCATTGCAAGAATAAATTAAAAAATGTCCTGGAGCTGGCAGGACAAACTTGGATGGCGCTTTCCTCACGTGGGAAAGGCCTGTGAGTTCAATCGCCAACACAACCAAGAAATTCTGAAGTATAACCCAAGATGAGGTAGTAAGGACTTGGGGGTAGGAGTTTAGCTCAGGATAGAGTACTTGCCAAATTTATAAAGGGGCCTGGGTTCCATCCCAAGTATCACAAAAAATTTAAATGTACATGAGAGTAAAATCAGAAAAAATAACAGTGGGCAGTTTAAAGGGGAAGTAGGAATTGAGGGAGCCCAAAAATGTTTGTGGTTTTGTTTTCCCCTGTCTTTTTCTTATGAAGGTTGAGGAGCCTGGAGAGGTGAGCAACTGCGGACAGAACTGAATAAATAAGAAAAAAGGGGACTGGAGAGATGGCTCATCAGTGAAGAGCAGTGGCTCCTCTTGTAGAGGACCTGGGTTCTGTTCTCAGCAACCACATGGCAGCTAACCATTGGTAACTCTAGTTCCAGGCCATCTGCTGGCCTCCGCTGGCATTGCATGCATGGTGCACTTAGATACATGCAGGCGAAATACTCATACACACAAAATAAAAATAAATAAAATAAGAAAACTACATTGTATATTACTGAAAAAAAAAGGAAAATAGATGGGGCTCTAAAATTAGGAACTAAAGATTGAATTAAAGGGCTGGAGAGATGGCTCAGCAGTTAAGAACACTAGCTGTTCTTGCAGAAGACCCAGGTTTGAATCCTAGCAGCCACATGGCAGCTAACAACTGTCCATAACTCCAGTTCCAGGGGATCTGACAGCCACTTCTGTCTTCCTCGGGCATTGCACGACATGTTTGCCCTTACCTACATGCAGGCAATATACACACACACATAGAAATAACAAAATATTTAAAAATAATAATAATATAAAGATCGAATTAAAGCAAAATGGGAAAGCCAAGGGTCCCAGTAATGAGATGGCAGAGGCAAGAGGACCCAGAGTTCAGATCCATCTAGGCTAAGCTGAGACCCTGACTCAACAAAAGTGAAAAAAGTAAAATGATGCAGGACCTGGGTTTGAATCCCAATACTATACTAAAAAAAGATTTAAGAAAAAAAAAAAAAAGATGCCAGGTATTTAACTCTAGCACTAGGGAGGCAGAAGCAGGCACATCTCTGTGAGTTCAAGGCCAGCCTGTTCTACATAGTGAATTCCAGGCTATCAGACTACAGGGAGACCCTGTCTCAAAAAGAAAAAAAAAAAAAAAAAACTGATTCTAGATGTTAATGGCTGAGTGTAAAAAAAAAAAAAAAAAAACTGATTCTAGATGTTAATGGCTGAGTGTGGTGGTCCTGCCTATAATTCCAGCCACTCAGAAAGCTGAGGCAGGAGGATCAAGAATTTCAGACCCATGCAGTTTAGCAACACCCATTCTCAAAAGTGGAAGGAAAAAAAAGAAGCTGGTGAACTTGGCTTGGTGACATAACTATAATCCTAACACTTGGAAGGTAGAGGTAGGAGGATCAACATTTCAAGTGAGATTTTTGTATATTGTATAGTTATATTTTATATATTACATATAATTATTATAGTGCTGGGGTGCCAGGTCTAGTGACACAGGCCTGTAATCCCAGCTGTCAGGGAGGCTGAAGCAGGATTACTGCAAATTCAAGGCCAACCTGGACCACAGAGTAACTTCATTGCCAGTCTAAGCAACTCTGAAAAAAGGTAAAAAGAGGTCTTGTGGGGGCTGTGGCTCAATGGTAAATCACATGCCTGGAATGTTTATTTCCTTCTGTCCCAAGCACAGAAGGGGAGGAAATAAACACAGATAAAGGGACCTGCAAGTGGAGCAAACAGCCCCTCTCAACCCTGGGATTTGCCTCACCGTCACTGAAGGCTAACAGTGGACTGCACTAATGGGGCCTTTAGTTTGTCAGGCTGCCAATCTTTCTGTTACTTCAGAGTCTTTGCACTTACATGTTTCTCCACTCTGATGTCCCTTTCTTGTGATTTTTGATCACTCAGCAGCATCAGGTCTCAGATGTTACCTGTTTCTCCACTACATACACCACAGATTCTGATCTGTTCTATTTTCTTTCATTACAACTACCACTTTTTTTTTTTTTGTCCTCTTTGAGATAGAGTCTCCCTGCAGCTCCAGCTCTCCTGTAACTGATTATGTAGACCAGGTGACCTCAGTCAGAGAGATCTGCTTGCTTCTGCCTCCTGAGTGCTAGAGTTAAGGCGTGCACTACCACGCCCAGCTTTACAACTACCACTTCTTGTTTATGTTTATTGTATATTCTCCTTGAGCTGGAACCCTCAAGAATAACCCTAAATACTGTTGCATGAATAACATCCAGTTTCCTTCTAGTAACCGATCCTTCAGCGTGGATATTGGGAAGCTCCAGCACAGGTACCAGCAACTGCAGCGCCTTGTCCACCCAGATTTCTTCAGCCAAAAGTCTCAGGTAGTTTACTGGCCACCCCCAGTATTCCCCAAATGTGTGCTTACAGTGGCCTATGGTTACTGATGATCAGGGACAGAGTTGGGCAACCAACTCTACCTTGTGGCCACCTGCCTTTGCCAGGCCTTAGACCTATCCTGTCCTCACAGCTTTCATCTGACTTCCCAAATAACTTAGAACCCCATCAACTAAACATGACTCCTTTTCGACCAGTTCTACTTCAGCCACACTTACTTAAGTGCCTGCCCCTCATTGTGTTGTAAAAGTTTGTAGGGCTGAGGCAGGCATGGTGGCAAATGCCTTTAAGCCCAGCAGTCAAGTGGCTGAGGAGGCGGGAGATAAGAGGCCAGCTAAGGTTACAGGGAGACCCTGTCTCAAAAAGACCAAAAAACAGTTTGTAGAGCTGGATGTGGTGGCAGCAGGTGGATCTCTCTGTGAGTTCAAGATCAGCCTGGTCTACATAGCAAGTTCCAGGCTAACCAGGGCAACATAATAAGAACCTTTCAAAAAAAAAAACAATTGGGGAGTCAAAGAGGGCTAACTACCCTGGTAATAAGATTCTTCATCTCTACTGACAGACTGAAAAGGACTTCTCAGAGAAGCATTCGACCCTGGTGAATGATGCCTATAAGACCCTTCAGGCCCCCCTGAGCAGAGGACTGTACCTTGTAAGGTGATTTCCCAACCCGGCTATGTGTGGCTTCCCCTGTTGGAGATCTAGGCTAGTCCAGAAACTTAATGCTATTAGCCTCAACAGTACTACAAAAGGAGAAAGAAGAGAAAAAAAAATATACACAAAAATAATTTAAGTATACCCTGTAAAGCCAGCCTTTTTGTTTATTTTTGATAGACTCTCACTGTGTAGCCCAGGCTGCCCTCAAATTACCAGTTCTCTTACTTCAGCTTGCTGAGTGGTAGGATTGCAGGTCTGTGTCACCACACCCATACTCATCTTGGTAAAAAACTTATTTTTTTAAACTGCAGTACTGGTGGGCATTGAACCTAGAGCCTCACAAGTACTAGGTATATATGTGTTCCACCACTAAGCTATGACCCTAGCTTGATTAGAGTTTTCTGTGATTTGTTTATTGTGGTTCTGGGCTTTGAATACATTGAATTATACCTCCAGCTGCTTTTTTACCTTTTGAAACGGTCTTACTCAGATGCCCAGGCTGGTCTTGAATTTGTGATCTTCCTGCTTCAGATTCCTGAGTAACTGGATTACAGACAGGCCTGGCTCTTTTTTAAAATCTTAATTGCCAGGCCAGAGATGGTGCTGCATGCCTTTAATCCTAGCACTTGAGAGGCAGAGGCAGGTGGATCTCTGTGAGTTCAAGGCCAGCCTAGTCTACATAGTGAGTTCCAGGCCAGCTGGAGCTACAGGGAAACCCTGTCTCAAAAAAAAGAAAATCTTAATTGCCCCCAGTTTTATTGTTGTAATCATTTTCTATAAATGTGATGATGATAAGAGTACTTGGAATTTTTTTTTTCAAGAATGTCTTAGAATCTAGAAAATTTTAGAATTGAATAGGACATTTACAAACATATATTTCAACCTCTGAATGGAGGTATAACTACCCAAGTTCCAACTGCAGATGCGGAGGGAGATTCTGTATTAGCTCTGTAGTCTCAGACCATGCCTATGTTATCTGGCCCTCATGCTTTCCTTACTAGGACAGCTCAAGGTTTCTAGACTGGATGAGTGGTCCAGTGATAGAGAGCTGATCTAGCATGTATTAGGCTCTGGACCCCATGTCCAGCTGATATTCAAGTTTTTCTCATGCATAACAGTGTATTGCCAAGGGGTGGGCAGAATTAACATGACTGACCCTAGTTCCTTGAGTCAGACGCATTTTCCTTATTCTCTGCTGGAATAGCTAAAACTCCAAGGAATAGAAATTCGTGAAAGCACAGATTATGAAACAGACAGTCAGTTCCTCATGGAGATAATGGAAATCAATGAAAAACTTGCAGAAACTCAAAATGAAGCTGCCATGGAAGAGATCGAATCTACTGTCAGAGGTAAAAGATAAAATGCCACCAAATATGTTTTATTGTTACTAGGAATACATGACCAGGGCTAGAAGAGAGATGAAAGGGAAGAGTGCTCACTCCTCAGCATTCAGGGCCTTTGGTGTCTTGTTTTGTTCTTGGTCACACTGACCTTAAGGAAGGCAGCCTTAAACCAAGAATGATTTGGTTTTGTTTGTTGGGTTTTGTTGTTATTTTGAGTTGTCTCTCTCTGCTTTTGAGACAGGGTCTCACTAGGTATCCCTGGCTGGCCTGGAACTGCTTCTGTCCCCTCCTCTGCTATTAAGAACCATTCTTTATATGGTTGCTTCTGCTTGGGATATCAGGTGCTGTTATCTCTGATGAGGAAAATGGGCCTCAGAAGGTGGTAGGAATGCCCTGGACAACAGACGTGCAGCAGGGCAGACACTAAACCCTGACCTTCAGATCCCACCTGCTTTGCCTTCTTTTCCATTTCATTCCATAGTGTACATCAAGGTTCTCCAGAAAGCCAGTAGGGTAGGTCCATTTGTTTGGCACTTGAGTCACTTGATGGTGGAGGCTGATAGAGACAGAAAGCATAGGGCATGGGCCTCAAAGATGAAGTCAGTAAAGTGCTTGCTGTACAAGAAAGAGGACCTGCATTCAGAGCCCAGAATCCACACCCACTGTTGTCCCCTGACCTCCACAGTGACACTTGCTGCACAAGAAAGAAGACCTGCATTCAATGTCCAGAATCCACACCTACTGTTATCCTCTGATATCCACAGTGTGCTACTGCACTCACACCCATACAATGAATAAATAACAATTGCATAAGACTGGGTGTGGTGGTACCCGCCTTTAATCCCAGCACTGGCAGGCAGAGGCAGGAGGATCTCTTAAGAGTTGGAGATCGGCTAGGAACTGTCCTTAACTCCAGTTCCAGGGAAATCCTAAGCCCTCTTCTGACCACCACCACGGCATTGCACGACACAGGTGTGCTCACATACATTCAGGCAATACACTCATACACATAAAATATTTTTTTTAAAAAAACAAAAAAGGGGGCTGGAGAGACGGCTCAGCGGTTAAGAACGCTGCTTGTTCTTGCAGAAGACCAGGGTTTAAATTCCAGCACCCACATGGCAGCTAGCAACTGTCCCTAACTCCAGTTCCAGGGGCTCCAACGGCCTCTTCTGTCCTCCAACATTGCACGACACAGGTGCAGTTACCTACATGCAGGCAATACATTCATACACATAAAAATAATAAATATTAAAAAAAGAAAAAAGAAGGGGGGATGAGTTTGTAGCTCAGTGGTAGAGCCCTTGCATAGCATGTACCAGGCCTTGGGTACAATCCACAGCACCACAAAAAAGAGGAGCTATGATTGTGTAGACAGAGGTTATAAAACCGTAACCCACCGGGCATGGTGGCATACGCCTGTAGTCCCAGCACTTGGGAGGCAGAGGCAGGTGGATCTCTGTGAGTTCAAGACCAGCCTGGTCTACATAATGAGTTCCAGGACAGCTGGGGCTACAAGGAGACCCTGCTTCAAAAAGACCCAAGCTCCTTGCCTTGAATGCAGAGCAGCCTGATCACAAAGTGCTGTCTTAATATCATCAGCCTATTTAAATGGAAAATAAGACAGTGATTTTTCTTTTTCAGCTAAACAGAAAGAATTTACTGACAATGTAAACAGCGCTTTTGAACAAGGTATTTCACTTCTTTTTTATTACATTTATTCTGTGTGTGTATGTGTGTGGGCATGTGTATGGAGGTCAGAGGACCGTTTGCAGGAGTCAGTTCTCTCCTTCCATCAAGTGAGTTCCAAGAATCGTACTCAAGTCCTCAGGATCAGGCAAGTGCTGTTGCCTATAAGCCGTCTCATTGGCTCTTTTAATTAATTTATTTTAATTTTTTCACTTTCTTAAATTGTAAGCATTGAAGCCTAACTATTTATTCAATAAGTAACAATTATACATCTGTTCTATGATAGGTACATGAAGAGAGAGAAAATCTATTTTTCTATATTTCTGCCTTTAAGGAGTAGTATACAACACAGGTGCACTTACCTACATGCAGGCAATACATGCATACACATAAAATAAAAATAATTTTTTTTAATTAAAAAAAAAGTAAAATATCTATAGTGTTGAGAGAGAAAAAGCATCAACATCCAGTTCTGTACCTTGTGAAGTTATCATTCAAAAACAGGAGAGGGCCAGAAAGATGGCTCAGTGGGATAAAGGTGCCTGCCACCAATCCCAACAACCTGAGTTTGATCCCTGGGACCTACATGGTGAAAACAAAGAACCGACTTCTGAATGTTGTCCTCTGATCTCCACACATGTCCATACAATCAGTCAGTCATCAACAAATATTAAAGAAAAGAAATCCATCGGCCAGGTATGGTGGCATGCATCTTTAATCCTAGCACTCGGGAGACAGAGGCAGGCAGATCTCTGTGAGTTCAAGGCCAGCCTGGTCTGCATAGCGAGTTCCAGGCCAGCTGGGGCTACAGGGAGACCCTGTCTCAAAAAGACCAAAAATGAAAAAGAACTAGTCCTGGTGATGCAAGAGGCTGAGCCAGGAAGATCACAAGTACAAGACCGGGTAGTTGTTTTTTTTGTTTTTTTTAAGTCAGGGTCTCACAACATAGCCTGGCTGACCTGGAACTCACAGAGCTCTTCCTGCCTAAGTGCTGGGATTGAAGACCTGCATCACCATGCATAGTCTGGGTAACTCATTGGTACCCTGTCTCAAAGTAAAAAGTAAGTCAGGTATGATGGTACATACCTTTAATCCCAGCAGAGGTAGCCAGGGAGGCAGAGGCAGCCAGATTTCTGAGATATCACAGCCAGCCTGGTCTACGTATGGAGTTCATGCTAGCTGGGGCTACAGGGAGATCTTGTCTCCAAAAAAGGATTAACATGGCAATTTTTATGTTGTGTATATTCTACCCTAATTTAACAATGTCTAAATAAATAAAAGAGACTTGGCCTAGAATGCCCTTGGCTATCACATCTCCCTGCATAATGGCCACTCTCCTGAGTTCTCTGTTAACCATAGTCTAGTTCTAGTCATAGTCTAGTCTAGTTCTTGATAGTTTTGATCCTTACATAAATAGCTTCCTATCTCACGTGTTCCCTAAGTCGGGTATTTTTTCTTAATATTTTATTTTTGGTGTGGCTTGCTATAGCAGACCTTCATTTAGCATTGCATTGCACTATGTTAGCTAAATTGGGGTTTCTCATCCTTGGTGATACACATTGTAAGTGTGATGGAGGGTGCTGCTGAGCACAGTAAGGTAAATCACCGTAACCCCAGCTTCTGCCCACTAGGTGTCACTATCTCTTCCCTGGTTTTGACAGCCAGTATCTCTATCCCTTGGCAAATCTTCCCAGAGGTCAAACTCACCCTCTAGTGCTTGCTGTTTGTGGCCCTGTGATCTGGCTGCCTGGTATACCAGAGTTGGTTTTATTGTTGCTTGAAATGAAGCCTGACATCAGTGTCTCTTGTTTATTTCAGGTGACTTTGAAAAAGCAAAGGAAATTTTAACAAAGATGAAATACTTTTCAAACTTAGAAGAAAAGATCAAGTTAAACAAGATTTCCCTCTAGTCACTAATTTTAAGTTAAAAAAAATAAACTTCCTCTGTACTTCTTTTCCGGCCTCTGCTAATTGAGAATAGATGTGTGGGCTGTGATGTAGCTTAGTAGTAGTGTACTTGCCTAGCATGTGGAAGGACCTGGGTTTGGTGCCCAGCACCATAGAAAGGAAAATAGAAGAGGCAAAGAGAGTGGCAACACTTTACCCACCATATCGTTTCAGGTCAGTCTGTAGCTTGAGTACTAATAGCTGGCAAAGAGTGTGGTGCCTGTCACACTGTCAGTTCATCACCAGGGACTTGATACAGCATGCCCTCGACCCTAGGCTAGTGCATGAAATGAGAAGAGGCCAGCTGGGATCCTGTAAGGAGAGGCATGAAAACAATTTTGTCAGAAGGACCCAGTGTGAATATTTAAGGTTTAATGGACTACATGGACTCTGTTGTAACTGTTCATCTCTTGACATTATAGAACAAATACAGCCACAGACAGTATGTAAACAGAGGACGGGGCGGGGGGGAGGGGTCCAGAGTGGATAGTAGG